ACTTCTCTGGATGTTCTGAGGATTCAATGAGCCAATTCCTGTCAGAGAGGAGAGCTACCTTCGGGAGCTCACGAAGACTCTGATATAACTGAGTAAAAGCTGGGCCAGCAGGGCTCACACAGAACAAGACTAAAACAGGGAAGCCATGAAACCAAAATTCCACACACTGAGTGTTTGATGCACTGTGACTTGGCAAGTCAAAGATCAAACCAAATGCTAAGGAGAGGTAAAGTGCTGGCCAGCTCCACTGCCACCTAATTCCCTAGTCTGAGGAAACCCACAGGTTGCTGAAGGCATCCAGAGAGAGGACGCTTGCTGCTACACGATGCAGGAGCTGGGGATAGGTTGTGCCTATCATGTGTAAGGTCCTGGGTCTGAGAGCACCACCACCACCACCACCACCACCACCAAAAAAAAGTCAGAACACAGAAGGCAACTCCCGAGAAAAACACACCCAGCGAGTTGAAAATGGATCCTCTAGTGTCAGAGGATGAGGTGGAGGCGCAGGACAAAAGCAGAACTGCTCTTCCCAACGGAAAGGAGATGCACCGAAGGGTTCAGCACACTGACAGTCATGGCGGGCACTCAACCCAGCCACCCTTCAGCTGCTCCCCTGTCAGTAGCGCTAAACAAACTGTGGAAAGCAAGCGCTGCCCCTGGCAAGGCGCGTCAGCTGTTAATTTTAGGGGCTTAGTATATAGAACATTGCATTTCTTGCCCTTTAAGGGAACAATCCCAAGGACACCTTGCCTGAGAAATCAGAAAGAGGCTCGCAGAACTAGGAGTTGTGGCTCATTCCTGTAATTCTAGCCTTTGGGAGGCAGGGCTGAGGTAGGGGATCACCACAAATTTGAAGGCAGCCTTGGATACAAGCTGAGACCCTGTCTCAATAAAATAAACAACAAACAAACAAAGAGAATGGAGGAACAGGTGAGATAAAGTGGGCTGAGGTGCTTGGAGCCAAGGCTGATACTCTGAGTTTGATCCCCAGGACCTATATGGTCAAACGATTCCCATGAGTTTCCTCTGACCTCCACAAGCTTGCTATGCACACACAAAACATCCACACAAATAAATAAATGTAATAAATGAAGATTTCAGATTTAAAAGAAAAAAATAAAGAGAAAAAACTACAGAAGCATCTCCGTAAAGCCCCTAATCTTCCAGCTTGAGAGAGAAAGGGTTAACTGGCCGCCTGTCAAAGTGAGCACATTAGTTCAGCAGTGTGGGAGATCATCAAAACCAGTCTGCCATGGGCAGCAGGCTCCCTGAAATAGGCTTCATTTGCTTCTAATTTCTTTTGCTCTCCAGTTTCTTCTCTTTGAAGCAGCTCTTGATTAGTTTCTTTTTTAAATGCCATTTAATTAGAAAACATAATTAGAAATACTTATTTGATATCAGCGATGAGCGTTCTCTTCATTTCTGCTTTGATCTAGTTTTGAAAAACCAAAGGCTGAGGGGGGGGGGGGAATGAAGTAAATGCCTAAAAAGATTTCTTCTTCCCAAGTGCTAGATGCAATTATAAGCCAACTAACAGCATAGATACAGCCACTTTGAGACAAAAGGAAGACAAAAGCAAGTAAGGAAAGCTTTGTAGAATTTATCTTCTGTCCTATTTGCATGAAACTGTCAACCTGATACAGCCTGCAGTCATCTGAGAGGAGGGACTGGACTGAAGAGCTGCCTAGATCAGGCTGGCCTGTGGACATGTCTTGAGTGCTGACACAGGAGGGCCCAGCCCACCGAAGGCAGCACTATCCCTAGGTCCTGAGCTGTATAAGAAAGAAAACTAGCCGGGCGGTGGCAGCACACCTTTGATCCCAGCACCTGGGAGGCAGAAGCAGGAGGATCTCTTGTGAGTTCGAGGCCAGCCTGGTCTATAAAGGGAGCCCAAGACAGCCAGGGTTACACAGAGAAACCCCATCTCCAACCTTCAACAAACAAGAATGTTGGTGATAAAGGTGCTAGCTATGGAAGCCTGACCGCCTATGCGCCATCCTCAGAACCCATGCAGAAAGGCTGCAGGTGGTGACAAGACTCAAGGCAGAGCTATGAGAATCACCTGGAAGCCCGAAAGCCCGTTAACCTAGCGTGCGCAGCAAGGCAGAACCAACCAAGGAGCCCTGCCCTAACAAGATGGAAGGAGAGAACTGAGCCCCCAAAACTCTTCTGACCTCTAAATACACACACACACCATTTTTTTTTTTTTTTTTTTTTTTTCTGGACAGGGTTTCCTCTATGTAGCCTTGGCTGTCTGGGACTCGCTTTGTAGATCAGGCTGGGCTTGAGCTCACGGATCCGCTGCCCCTGGTTCTCTGAGGGCTGGGGTCACAGGCATGCGCCAACCCTGGCTCACTCAATAATACCTACTAGGCACCAGGCATCTCCAGGATGTAACCCTTGCTCTCATGCATCTTAACAGCCCAGGAAATGGAGACCTGGACACAATACATTATCAAACATATCACTTATTGCTATAGTAAAGCTATTAAAATACATTTGTAAAATTAATGGAAGGCTTGGGAAAGGGGAAGATAGGAAGAAAGAACAGAAAGGGAGAGGTACATTCTAAATGTTTCTCTCTAATCTCATAAACAACTGTAGATAAAGAAACTCTCCCAAAATCACAACTATTGAGTATCACAATGAGGCTTTCAAAACAGGTTTTATTTTGCTTTTGTACACAGAGTTTCACTATGTAGTCCTGGCTGGTCTGCTACAAAGACCAGGCTAGCCTTGAACTCACAGAAATCCACAGGACCACACAGATATACCCTGTCTCGAAAACAAAACAAGAAGAAGAAGAAAAAGTAGGAGGAGGATGAGGAGGAAGAGGAGAAGGGGGAGGAGGAGGAGGATTGCACCACCACACCCTCCTCAAAGCAGTTTTGAATGACTCGAGGTTCATTCTTTTCCAAGGGTGATGCTGTCTCTTTCCAAAACACTTTGTTTTGAACACAAAACAGAAACGCTGATTCCATCGTCAGAAGTAGTCTGTCTCCCGCCACCTCCAAAGTGCACTAAAGTAACTTGCTCACTCAAACACTCCCGAAGAGTTTGGGAGAGGGGAGCTGCCACTCCATGGTACTACAACCAAAACAAAGAACTTCCTGGCAAACAGGCTTTTCTTGGTTTTTATGCTTGTGACTACATACCAGGGCCTGCGACATGTTAAGCACATGCTCTATGGCTGAGCTCTACCCCAGGTCGTGCCAAAGTTTTGCAAACTGCAGTTTTTCAGAGTACAAAACCGATTTAAAAATAAATGAGTTAATTTAAAAGAAGATTGACACTGATCAGGGCAACAGTTTCACAGAGAAAAACACAGCAATTACAGAATGAACAAAGAAAAAGTTCACACTTCCACTTCTGAAATGACTTTCACATTCAGCACTCTCATCTGATTGGGTTTTTTTTTCTCGGGAGACCTGCCCAGCTTCTTCCCCAGCTTCTACTTCCTCTTTCTCCGCTCTTCCATTCGTGGGAATAGCGGCTGGCTTAAATGGGCTGTTACATTAGCTCTGTTGTGAGTTACAGCAACAGAACATAGACATAAAATCAAATTTGGCAAGCTTCCTTTTCAGCCACATTCCTGTGACTTTTTTTTTTCTTCCATACTGGCTAAAGAACAAGAAACTAGATCTTTTTTAAACCTAAAACTCACCACAGGCAGATTACTAATCATTTAATCCTTTGTTCAACCATCTCTAGAATAGAAGAATAAATAGAGTGTATCCAAAGGTTATGACCTTCTACCTTTATCTCAGCTTTAACTGGGGTAAGGAGGAAGCTAGGGTTGCTGGCTACTGCTAATGACAAGCTGGCTATAACAAAATCTGGCTATAAAAATCAGACTACCAAACACTCAGAGACAGTTAGAAACCCACAAGTCTCTTTACACACAAAAAAGTACATATGTATAGATAGATGGACAGACAGTCTGTTAGCAGCAGAAAAATAATGTTAACAAAAATACAGTATTCACGGTGACTGGCTTACAGATGTACTGATTTGGAAGAAAAAAACAAAACAAAAACTCTCAAATATCTGGCCCATTTCTTCTTCTCTAGTAACAAAAGCCAGCAATTACTCATAGTAAGACCCTGACCTCCACGGTGGCCTATATATAGTAATCCCTACATCTGGAAGGCAGAGGCAAGAGCATCACCCCAAGTTTGGGGTCAACCTGTTCTACATGGCATGTCCCAGGCCAGTCGGAGGTACACAGAGAGAATATATCTCAAAAAACGTAACAAACAAACAAACAAAAGCCCCGGGAAGACACCTAAAGAACAAGATGTACAGCAGTATCCCAGAAACACCAAATGTTCTCCAAGAAGCAACACCACTTTGTTGAAGCTTTGAGCCACTTCACCAAATTAACAAAGTAAAGGTACAATAAAATGGACTCTTAACAATATCCACGGATTATCTGAGGCCGTAGACACTGAGTAAGTCAAAACATTATCACATCGCTAACAACACGGGATTTATAAGGCAACTTTGTATTCTGGAATTCTCCGGCGGTGATATTTTACAACATAATTACACGCATGGCTTGTACAGCCTGGTGAATTTCTTCACTGACCGTGAACTCTAACGAAATATTCTATCATTCGTTTATTGCTAGTCACGTTGTTCATGCACCTCTAGAAGTAACGTTCCTTCTGAACTGCAGTTTCTAGACTGCTCTGCGATGTACTATCGAAACCCACCGTCCAAAAATGTTCTTTTCCCCCTACAGTGCCCGAAGCACACGACTGGTTCGCTACACAGAACTTTTATATAATGAAAGTACTGCATGTCTCCGACCCTTAATATCCGAGCACCCACCCTGGTAAATGACAAAGGCAGAAACCAATCGCTGGGCAGGATCACAATGGCTTAGCCAATAAGAACATGGGGGTGGGGTTAAACTAAGCTCCCGGTGACTTCCCCGCACCCCAGATACCAAGCTTGTGGGAGACCGGACAGGAATTGGGCTACGAGGATCTCGTTACCTTCGGTTGTAGCTGTTGTTCTCCTCGTTCTCGCAATCGCTGCAGTGCTCATGGCCGTTTCCGTTCCCTTCCATCATGACTGGCAGCGAAGGTGCCGGCAGCTTCACTGCTGTCTCACTCTCATCCGCCATCTTGGGTTGCGAGAGCCGAGCTCCGCGCCCCGCTACATGGAGGGCTCCTATTGGACAGGGGAAATAAGCGCTGTATTCTGGGTTTTGTAGTGTTTGTGAAGAAATCTGACACTAAGGGTGGTTTGTTCTCAAGAAAGTGTACCGAAGCGGACTACAAAGCCCAGAAATCATGAAGGGACGCGGCCTTGAGAGGAGTGGGCAGCAATTCCGGAAGCCCCTAGGTTCAGCCACGCTCTGAGGCGAAGCGAGCTAACACACTTTACAGGGTGGTCGCGGGGCATGCTGGGAGTTGCAGTTCCCATGTTGAGTTAGGGTTTCGCGAGTGAAGGGCTGCAAAGTCCAAGCTTTCCAGTTTCCCTTTGATAGTCACCGGGCACAGGTGAGCCGTTATCGGCTACCGTTAAGGACCGTTACCATTCCTGGGTAAGTGAAAGACACTGAGGTCCATGGCTGCGATTCTCCAGGAGCCCTAATGGCCCTTGGAGAGGGCTTTCATACCGGAAGCCAGGTTTGCTCTCGGCCGCGTTCCTCACTCCGGCCTTTTAGGCAGACCTGGGTCATTGGAAGTCTAAAACCCGGAGGCTATAAAACCAGGAGGCGGCGGGCTGAGGTGTTTGGAGCACTAATCCTGAGCCTGAAGACGATTGATTGGAGCCGAGGCTTACTGGTTTTGGGTTTCTAGTTTTGTACCGAGCTCTTCTTCACATTGTCCTTCGATTCCCCAGTAGATTCCCCTTACATCACAAGTCTTTTTTTTTTAAGGATTTTAATTACATCATCTCACCCCCCTTCCCTTTCCTCCTTTTTCTAACTCCTCCCATATAACCCCCACCTTCCTCTAAAATGCATGGCCTCCTTTTCTTAATTGTTACATAGGTGTGTGTGTGTGAGAGAGTGTGTGTGTGCGCGCGCCTACAGCCTTCTCAGTCGGCATAATGTTATGCATATGATTTCAAGGCTGATGTGCTCTTCCCTGGGGAGGAAAATTTCTTCCACCCTTTTTAGCATTAATTGCCCGTAGTTTTTAGTCTAGAGTTGAGTCCTCGTGGGCTCCCCTAACTCCCCATTACAACTCTTAATGAGCACTTAAGCACGAGGCTCTGGGGTGAGGCTTTTTGTACATGACTTCGTACAAGCCTAAAATGTACATGCCATTATTATTCCTTTTTCACAGAGGAAAAGACTGTTCCTGAAATGTTGGTATTGCTTGTAGGCGGCAAAATCTGTATATAAATCTGGATCTACCTACTCTATGCCCTCTTTAATTCTTTACCGTCACGACGGTCACATTGTAGGATACATGCAATCACCACAGGAAAATCGGTTACAGGAAGGTAATTGCAGCCTCTATCTTAGAATTGCCTGAATGCATCAGTCCCTTTGGTCTCCGTCCTGTGACTAATCTAATCGTAATTCTGAGAAGATAGCCCAAAGACTTGGGTTTAGAGATTTCCTATTTGTCTTGAATATGGTGGGTGGTGAGAGAAGACTGGTTCTTATCAACAGAGAGCTATTCGGCCAAAAAAGGGAAATGGTCTGTGCCTTTGCAAAGGGAAGATACAATTCCCCTCTGACTCACAGAAGGCAAAGTACAACACAGAGCTAAATATAGCTGACTTCACTTGCATTAGTGGCAGACCCAGGAAAGAAAATAGACCCCAAAGATGCAAACAGTCCTTGATCATGTCTGTTTGATTTTGAAAAGCAATCAGAGCTGCCCACTTGGGCTTAGCTGTCACCAACACTCATCTCTTCAGGACCAAAGCTGCTCTTTCAACATTGACACCAGGGCGCAGTGGTAGAGGGCTTGCCTAGCTTGTGTGAGGCCCTGGGTTCAGTGCCTTACTACATCCAGCATATTACATTTATATGTGTGTGTGTGTGTGTGTGTGTGTGTGTGTGTGTGTGTGCAAGTTTGCGCCTTGACCCACTGAGCCATCTCACCACCTGAAGGTTAACTTTCCTATTGTCCCCTTAACTTATATGCTCTTGTAAAGTAGACGGGGGAGGGGAAGTAAAGAAAATTGTACTTGCCCCTCAGTGAGCCTCAGTTGCAGAGCTTGGATGAGAACTTACATCTATTATTCTAGTTCCTAGTCTTGTGGTGTTGGTTTCTGCACGCTACCTATTAGGCAGAAGGTAGAAAAACCTAACTGCCTGAGAGGAGAGTGCTTTTATTTCACTTTTTGTGTTTAGCGTTTTGGGAGAAGCTCCATGGGTAAAGGTGTGCACACCCACCCACCCACGAACGTAGAGGCCGGAAGAGATTTCTTTCCTATTGTTTTCCGCCTCACGCCCCTGAGAAACGCTTTCTCACAGAACCCGGAGCTCACTGTTTTCACCTAGACTGGCTGGGCTCTATGTGTTCTGAAGTTACAAGCACACAGCGCCATGACCAGATTTTACATGGATGCTACAAAATTTTAATTCAGGTCCTCATGATTGCACAGCAGATATATTTATGATAGGGCCTTACCTTTGTGGTCCTGGCTGTCCTGGAACTTGCTATGTGAACCAGCCTGGCCTAGAACTCAGAGATCTCCTGCTTCTGCTCTCGGGTTCAGGGATTAAAGGCATGTACCAACATGCCCAGCATATCTTTTTTTTTCTCACTGAACCATCTCCCCATCTCAGGATGGTGCATCTGTGGTACTGTAATGAATTGATAAAGCTGTAGGTTGAAGGATGAGGAACATTTTGCAAGTCAAGATTGGAAGCTATGGTAGTGGTACAGGCCTGTCATCTGTCTGCTGGGGAGGCTGAGGTAGCAGATCAATGCCAGCCTGCCATCTTAGTGAGCTGTGTAAAAGCAGAAAATACAAAAGCGGCTAGAGATGGCTCAGTGGCAGAGAACTGGTCTAGCTTGAGGTCCTGGGTTTAAATTCTTAGTACTACACAGAGAAAGAATGAGAGGCAAAAAGGTAAACTTGAAAACACAGGCAAGAATTAGGCCAAAGAGAGGTTGACTAGGACTATGTCCTAAAGACGTGAGAGCCACTGATGGTATTTTACCTGGAGAAAGATAGGATTGTATTTTTGTTGCCAAATGATCCTTTTGGCAGGTCTGTTGGTAGGGTACTTGCCAACAACACACAAAGCCCTAAATTCAGTCTCCAGCACCTTGGAAGCCAGGTGTAATGTTACCCATGAACTAAGGAAGTAGCAGTAGGAGGATCAGAAATTCAAGATCACCCTTGGCTACATAGAGAGTACCAGGCTGGCTTGGGCTGCATGAGTCTGTATTATGTTTTTGTTTTGGATTTATTTATTTTATTTTATTCTTTGGTTTATTGAGACAGGGTTTCTTTGTGTAGCCTTAACTGTACTGAACTCACTTTGTAAACCAGGCTGGCCTTGAACTCACAGAGATCCACCTACCTTTGCCTCCCAGAGTGCTGGGATTACAGGCATGTGCCACCTGCCCGGCTTGTTTTGGATTTTTGAGACTGGGTCTATGTATTCCTGGCTGTTCTACAAGACCAGGCTGGCCTTGAACTCAAAGAGATCCATTTGCCTCTACATCCTGAGATCTGAGATTAAAGGTTTGTGCCACCATACCCAGCTGAGGCTCTGGTTTACAAAAAAATAAGTTTATACAGTACAGTCACTTAGTAATCTTAGGCAAGAGGGTTTCTTCCCTCCGAACAAGTCTAGTCATCTGGGTGTGAAATAAGGGATGGTCCTTGATAACTTATCTCTACTGGAGTTCACCTTTTGGAAGGGACCCTTGATTCTCCCTGAGACACAGTCCTAACACAGTCCCAAGAACACTGGGCCTCTTGCTTGGTGTTGTGGGTTTAAGAATGTTCCTGCCAGCTGGGTATGGTAGCGCACACCTTTTATCCCAGCACTTAGTCGGTAGAGGCAGGTATTCAATTTGAGGCCAACCTGGTCTACTAAGTATAAAATTAAAAGTAAGGGCTTTTGTATGCCCGCTTTAGCTCCCAAATAATGTCACAGAAACCTATTATATTTATTAGTAAGCTTTAAATACTATAGCTGGGCAGATATTTAGCTATTCTAACCTGTCTACACTGATCAAGACTACTTTTCAGCCACTGGCTGCATTACCTACCATCCTGGCTGCTCCTGCTCCATCTGTGTCCTCATGACCACTCCCCTGATAGAGATACCCTCCTCCTTCTCTTCCTCCTTCCTCTCTCTCCACCTGGGACCCCCTCCCTGGGATCGGAAGTCCTACCCTAACTCTTCTCTACCACTATAGCTATAGACTGTTTAGCTTTGTATTAACTAGTCAGAGGCGATGAAGAACAATTTTTACACAACGTTGAGACAGATGCTGCAATAATAATAGCAATGTCAACATCGCCAACCAGATCTCTGGGTATAGAAATAAACATCTGAATACACAGCGCACAAAACCATCCCCCAACAGCAAAGCTGGGACAACCCAGGACTCCGTCACACAGAAACCCCCGCCTCGAAACCAACCAAACTAAACCAAACCAAACCAAAAATGTTCCTCTCAGTCCCTGAACTTTAATAAGTTAGGGGCTAGCAAGACAAGATGGCTCAGAGCATAGAAGTAATTTTCAGGCAAGCTTGGCAACCTATGTTCTGTATCTAGAATCTACATTGAAGGAAACAACTGACTTCTGGAAATTTATCATCAGACCTCCACATGTGGACCGTGGGATAGAGAATGAAGTGGAGGGTGTATATTTCTGGGGTGGCATGGTGAAAAAAGGTTTCGGGAAACCATTTTTTTTAAAATCTTTTTATTTTATGTATAGTAAGTGTTTTGTCTATGTGTGTTTGTGTGTACTTGTGTGCCTAGTACCCAAGGAGGCCAGAAGAGGAAGTCTGATTCCCTGGAACTACAGTAACTAATGGTTGTGAACCACCATGTGCATGCTGGGAACCAAACTTGGGTCCCCTAGAAGAGCAACAAGTGGTTTTAACCACTGGACTATCTCCCCAGTCCTTTTTGTTTCCTTCCTTTCTTTTTTTCTTTCTTTCTTTCTTTTTCTCTTTTTGTCTTTCTTTCTCTCTGTCTTTCTTTGTTTCTTTCTTTCAGTGTTA